GTCAAAAGATCACAAATCGTATCTAGTCGAAGACATTACCCTTAAAAATTGAAAAAAATTCCCTCGTTCCCCGTAAAAGGGGGAAACCTCCAAAAAAATTAAAAAAATTACGAATTTAAAAATCGCTAATTTTCGAAATTTTTTTTACTTAAAAGTGCCATAACTTTTTCAAAAATAAACATCAATATAATTATTTTTTATATAGATGCATAAANAACATATCAATATAATTCTTTTTTATATAGATGCATAATATCATTACCTTTCATTTGGTATATTTTTTTCATAAATTTAACCCTTAACCTGCCCACAAGGGGGGATTTAAAATGACAACTTTTTCACAAAAAATTAATTTTTTTAACTTAAATTTTGAAAATGTTCCGGAAGGTCTGACACTTTTATATATATCTTAAATTAAAGCTAATGTAATATGCTTTATCATGAAAAAAAAAAATTTCGGACTTTATCTTATCTTCATGGTGAAAATGGCTACCGAATGCTATTTTTGTGTGAAAATTTTCGATTTTGTATTTTCCATTTTTAACTTTATTATGCTATAACTTTTTGAAAAATGTATGAATCATTACAATTTTTTTATGAGAAGTAGTATTTATATAGATCTTTCATTCGACATACTGTTTTTTTAAATCGGACCATTTCCCTAAATACAGGGGGGATTCAAAACATAAAAATGCATATAGAAAGTAGAACTTTTTCAACGTAACTTTTGAAAGTGTTCCGGAAGGTCTGACACTTTTATATATATCTTAAATTAAAGCTAATGTAATATACTTTATAATGGTAAAAAAAAATTTCGGACTTTATTTTATCTTCATGGTGAAAACAGACATTAAACTTAATAAAAAAAATACGATTTTTGTAAAAAAATTCTTTTTTATATTTTTAACTTTATAATGCTATAACTTCTCGAAAGATGTATGGATCAATATAATTCTTTTTTTTGTAGATGCATGATGTCTTTACCTATCATTTGGTATATTTTTTTTATAAATCTGACTTTTTACCTGCCTACAGGGGGGGATTCAAAATGACAACTTTTTCACAAAAAATTAACTTTTTCAACTTAAATTTTGAAAGTGTTCCGGAAAGTCTGACACTTTTATATATATCTTAAATTAAAGCTAATGTACTGTTCTTTATTATGCAAAAAAAAATTTTCGGACTTTATTTTATCTTCAAGGTGAAAATGGCTACCAAATGCTATTATTGTGTGAAAATTCTCAATTTTATTTTNGAATGCTATTTTTGTGTGAAAATTTTCGATTTTGTATTTTACATTTTTAACTTTATTATGCTATAACTTTTTGAAAAATGTATGGATCAGTACAATTTTTTCATGAGGAGTAGTATTTATACACATCTTTTATTTGACATACTGTTTTTTTAAATCGGACCATTTCCCTATATACGAGGGGGGTTCAAGTCTAAAAAATTCATGTAGAAAGTAGAACTTTTTCAACGTAACTTTTGAAAGTGTTCCGGAAGGTCTGACACTTTTATATATATCTTAAATTAAAGCTAATGTAATATACTTTATAATGGTAAAAAAAAATTTCGGACTTTATTTTATCTTCACGGTGAAAATGGCTACCGAATGCTATTTTTGTGTGAAAATTTTCGATTTTGTATTTTACATTTTTAACTTTATAATGCTATGACATATTGAAAAGTGTATGGATCAACATTATTTTTTTATGAGAAATAATATTTTTTAATAATCCTTTTTTCATTCGACATACTTTATCTTAATTAGGATATTAATAATGAACTAGCAGATCATGTAGCTTTTGGAATAATCCACCAATTTTTTAAAATTAAACACTATCTAAAGATTTGCATCGAAGCGTTTTTTTTTTATAGTGATTTTAATCACTGTGCTGGGTTTTTTTTTTTGCTTATTCTAATATTTCTACATAGTGTTATAAAATAAAAATAAAATACTTGGCCGACTCCAAGTAATAGGGATTATGGTGAGGAAAAAGAAGAAGAGTAATATAGAATAAAAAATATTTGGAGAGCAAAAAAAATGATAATACTCCCTTGAAAATTATTTTGTTTGTTTCACTGGTTTATTTTTAAATTTTTGAAAATGAAAATATCTAGTTATTCTAGCTGTGCATTCAATTATCATATTAAAAATAAAAAATAATAAGTAATCTGCTTAAAATGATTCCATTTATATTAATTTACTAATAAGATTATGGTCTACAATTAATAGAGATTAACCAACAAAATGGGTTTACTTATTATGTAAAATTATTAAGCTGCAAGTCCAAACCAGAGCAGTTTAGTAAATATTATTAAACAGATAATAAATAGTATAACATATGACCATAAACTTAATTAACAACGATTCAGTTACATCTTTTGATACTTAGAATATAATAAATTACAATAATATCTAATTATATTTATAAATTATCTTATTTAGATTTAATGGAAGCACTTGATTAAGAATAATTATAACATGATTTTTAAATTAATGGATATTAAATTCCAGCTTAAATAAATAGTAACTTTATAAAGACTAGTACTTCTTGAAAATGTTTCTTACATATTTAATTTTCTCAAAGACCTTTGTTTGAGTACACTATAGCAGGAGGATTTTTACAGTTGTTAATTATGTCACAATAAGCAGCATGTTCATACTTTTCCAATGTACTTAGTTTTATGGGACTGAAAAATTAATTTATTTTTTGTTTAGTAAAATACTTAAACCATAAAAAATTTTGTTAAAATTTACTTAGAACTTTATAAGTTCATTAAAAAAAATTGTGCTTTATATGTTTTTAAAATATATTTTTATGTATAAATGCTAAATATACATGTTATTTACCTGAATTGAGGAAAGAGAGCACAAGCTGTTGGTACCATACCAATTAAACTGTAAATGAAAAGGATTTGATTTTACACAATGTTCTTAATTATTATCAAATATATAATTTAACTAAAATGCTGTTTTTAAATTAAAAGTGAAATATTCTAATATATCCACAGTTAATATTAATCAATTTAGGTAAACACAAATAGATAATATCAAGTATATACTTTTAAAACTATTTTTTTTTTGGAATTCTTGTATTATATCAATGTAATGCTGTAGCACAATACTTACAAACATCCAACGGCAAGTGTCTGAAAAGGTGCATGCAACCATGTATTTTTTTTAAACCATACACTTTCTTTTTCAAGCTTTTCCATAATTACAGGAAGCAATACTATAATTAAATAAATTGTTAATGCATTTATATAATATTTAAAATACTAAATAATAAATATTTCTACTTACCCATTCCAGGTGCACACATTACAATTCTAGAAAGAATAACTTGTGAAATTCCTTTAGCAGCAGCTAACTGTGATTAAAAATATTAATTTAACATGATAGTTAATAACAATAGATAATTTATTCTTAAAAAAAAATCTATCATACTTTAGAACATCCCACTCTATTTTTTTCAGCATCAAAAACATCCACTCCTTCTAATAACTCATTCTGACGCATTAATGGTATGTTAACACAATTTGCAGCAGCAACTGCAGCAAATGGAACATATCTCTAAAGTAATATGAATAGATATTTATGACGATGTTATTTTTTACATATTGGTATCATAAAAAAAAATGGCAATTTATATTAAACAAAATTTACTAAAAATATTTTACTTGGAAAAAAGGTGTAGTATTTTTAGTTAGGTATTGTTTAAATCGAATTGATGTAAAACAAGCAGCTACTGTTGCTGATACATAAGCAACACCCATTTGATTTTGACTAAGAGGTGAATTCGCGTTGCGATTTGTATAATTTACTAAAGCGTTAAATGACTGATTTATCCATTGCCAAAACACTACTGCTGGTACTGTTCTAAAATACATAAAATATATAAAAATAAGCTAATTATCTAATAAATAATAAGTCATACTTATAAAATGACAACATAGCTCCAGTAATTGCCATACCACCAGGGACTTGAAAACACATTCGACCAAATACATTTTGTTTTTGAGCCGTATCTGGATGAAAGGAACTTTCATAAATTTGTTTAGCAGTTAATAATTGTTCTCTAGTAGTTCCTGGTGGATGAGTACCATTTCTATAGAAAAATTTAAATAGTACAGTGAACAATACAGAATTGCTTAGTTAATATATCTTATAAAGAACTAATATTTATCATAACTAATTTTTTATTATTCTATAATTATGAAGTTCAAGTGGTACTGTGGTAAATTATAGGCAATTGTAGATAATAATTACTCATTAATTTGGATAATTTAAGTAGCACCATTCAAGGATAACTATGTCAGTTCTTAGAAATATACATAAACTTTTGATCTTAAGTAATATTTAATGTACATAAAAAAATAGTAATAATGGTTTTATACGTTTAAACAACATTTATTTCTCTAAAAAATAATTTATAAATTTATCTAAATATTTATTGTACTATTTATAATTACTAACATGAAAGATAAACGTAATAATTTTGCTTCTTCTAATTCTTCATCTGTTTTCAAACATAACAATGGATTTGTCACCCAAAAATAATAATTCCAACGGCCTGTAAAAGTATTTTGATCCCAAAGACTTTTACTCATGTCAAACTTCTCTGAACTCATAATTTATGATTTTTAATAGAAAACTGAAACATAATTAACATGTACAACACATAATAATGATAAATGTACAAAATTTAGTGAGGTAATTTTGTACTCTTAAATAATTATGTCACTAAATATTTTAAGTGAATAAAGCAAACATTTTAATTAAATATGATAAAAAAACAATTATTGATCATTGCAGGAAGTCTCATTTATTAATTAAGTGATGTTCCACGTAAATAATACATTTAAAAAAGAATTCCAATTTATTAATCAATAATGAAAACGAATTATTCATGTTTTTAAAATATGTCAGAGTAAACTATAATATATAATTAACCATTTATATATATTAATTCATTGTACTATGTATTGTCTTAATTCATTAAATATATGAAATAAATATGTTTCTTATTCAAATAACATTATACACCTACTTAGTCAAAAAATGTATTTCTTGTTGGTTTTCATAGAAATTTTTTTAAAGTTTTGCTTAAAATTATATTATATAATGGACCAATAACGTATTGATTAAAAAGGATAAATTTCAGTCAATTATACTAAAAATATATAAACAAAATTAATATTATTGTGTTAGTTACAAATAATTATAGCGTCCAAATGAAATGACAACGGGGTTATCAAAAATCAAAATTGTAACGAAGGCATAATGTGTAATAATAACTAATCGATAGAGCTGTTATCGTTTTTTGTCATTACAGACATATACTGTATAACCATATGATTACAGGCTACTGTGTTATTAATCTCTCTAAATACAGTTGGAATCATAGAAAAAATAATTTATTTGAAATTTTAACTCTCTTAAATCCAAGTTAAGTAATTTTATTAATTTGTGTTGCATGATTTAAGTGACAAAATTCTATTGTTATTTTAATATATTACAAGCAATTAAAATACCATTCAATACAAAGTTTATGAACTTCAATTTTGTTTTAATGCGAAACTGAGAAAGTATTACTTCTACTATGTTATATTTCATTTTTTTTTATATGTCTATTGTTAATTTTATCAGTTCATCCCAGATTATATATATAATTAATCCTTAAATCTTATTTATTAAAAGTTGTGTCGAAAGTAAATTCGACCGCGTAAATATAGTAGATATTGATATTGTAGTAGTAATTGATTTTTTCAAAGCAATTACAAACATTTAATTTATTAATTAGACAGATAGAAAAACTCAACAAAATTTGGTCTTCAATGGATTTCTAAAACAGCCATCCGCCGAATAAATTGCGTTACAAACACAAAATAATTCGTCTTATAACTATGCTGCATAAATAAACAGTCGTATTAATTAACCGTTAACAAGTAATATGGAAACAACCGGATTAAGTAAAATTAATTATATTAGACAAAATAAAGATGCTTATTTTAAATACGAACTATCTTGCATCAATCCGTATATTTTTCTTATATTATACCCTAATTAACTATTGACAAAATGTATAATAATAATAATAGATGTTCTGGTGGTCAACCGCATAATCATCTTGATTATTATAATATTAATGTTAATCGCGCAGATAATAATACAGCAGCTGTGAAATCATTTGTCGCGTCAAAACGAAACAGCGATTTAGTCCAAATGTATTTACTCAAATATAAAGAAACTAAAGTTGAGAACGCACAAAGATTTTTAAACGCCACTGCTAAAGTATTCGTAGAAACTGGAATACTAACGGATAGATGGATTAATTTAGTTACCGAAAAACTAAAAAACAAAGATCGATTTCGTGGTACATATTAAGCACATTATACCCGAATTTATGTCGAGTTTTTGATAAAAATTGACGGCTAAGATAAGCATAAAAAAATTCGTATTTAGCTTTTAAGACGAAAACAAAAACCAATTCAGGTTTTGTATGATTTTATAATATAAAATATCAACTATTTTGGCATTACAATTGCGGCTTGTCCAAGGTAGAAACCATTGAAATAATATTGAGAATATTGGCTCTCATTTTAGTCGTAATTATTAAACTGATAAGCAAGCGGGATACATAAAAAAAAACTTGGTGGAAAAAGAAAACCGTATCGGCTAAAAAATTGAAAAGTTGCTGAAAATAGACAAGAGAATCTACAGTAAAGCCAAAAATATTAAAATATTTTTGGTGAAACCAAACTTTAAACGGCTTAACGGAGTGCGTGTTTTTTATGTTTCTGTATAAGAGAGAGCAATCATCGTGCAAAAAAACCCCTATGTAAGATGGCAAAAACCGATAAATAATCGGAATACTTGATGTGGGAAAAACCGACATACAGTTCGAATTAACCGTATCTAGTAAAGGACGAGACTTAGATACTAACTCTTTTTGTGCAGTATGACAACGTTTTGCTGCTAATGTTAAGGTCATCTTTTATGTTAGTTCATATCAAACAAAGGAGCCAACTTACGACGCTGAAGCAGACAGGCTAAGAAAAGATCTCATAAACTTGATGGTAATGGACAGGACGTTACAAAAAATGAGAAAAAACCAACTAAACGAAATCTTTCTATTACTATAAATAACCCAACCAAACCCAACCGTTCGATATTTCATACGTTCCGATCGCGAACAAACGTGTACATTCATAAACGGATGATTAAAAAATAGAACCCCTAGAAAGAATATTAATTTGTCCACAGGTTAACAATTGTTGACAATGGTATCGGAACCAACATACAGAAATGCGTATCATGTAACCTTGAAGAGATAACAGGAAAAATGGGATTTTGAGAACTGGAAGCGAAAAAAAAACCACGACGTGTGCTATTGATTTTAACCGCTATTGACCTGACAGGGGAAGATGAGGCAGTGATAATTTCAAAGCAACTTACAAGTGTCACTGATGAGTGTGAGGTAACTGACACCCTTCTATTATCTACTGGAGAAAGAGATCTGACCGACATTCATTTATCTGATGTGAAACTACTTCAATAGATCTAAAAGTACTTCAAACTAGACACTCGCCCGACCTCAAACCATGATAACCGAATGTGAATGTATTTTAAATCAAAAATGAGCGGTTTGACGGGGAGAATTACACGGTCGTGGTATTACCAATGCACTGATTTGGATATCACTCGGATTAAGATAGTAGTGCACCAATCGTGTTGACTTTCCTAAATCGCTCATTAAACGTAACTGGAGATGTCTTATCACTTATTGGTGACCGGCTGCATTGTCATAAATACAGGTGAACGTCAGCCGGTCAAGGATTAGTCTGTGAATATATTAAATATGTAATAATAAATAAATTTAAATTTATTAAATATTTATTCATATACTACACTTAGATATCATAAAACTTATAATCAGAATATAAATAAGGAAATAGGAGTTCATTTTGCTTTTGATATAATCTACCAATTTCTTAAAATTAAACATTATCTACATATTTGCATCGAAGCATTTCTTATGATAGTAATTTTAATCAGATATCATCTATACTTGTCCACATTGTTCTACCGTTTTTTAATACTGACTCTTTAAATATTTCGAATTAAATAAAATTTGCTTGGGTAAATTTTGTTGTCGTTGCTTTACCGTTATTCTGACAAAGCAAGCCTAATGAAATGGCCCTTCAGCTGTACCAGCTACCCCTGCTATTGTTACGGCAGTACAATACGTAGGAATCGTTATTTCTAAATTACTTATTTTATATTCATGAAAAATACCTCATATAAATGAAGTATTTATCAACTTTTTGAAATTTAGTAGTGGGTCATAAATATATTATGAATGTTAATTAAAATAGCTATAATAGGAAAAAAGATATTACAAAGTAGATTAGACTTTTATTGGCAATCCACGATGCAATTGATAATACATACTAATATTTACTTACTTGACATTTTTTAAATTATTTTATTATGATACAATATAAAATTAATGTTAAGTTAATATAAGCATTATTGGATTTAATGTATTATATTATTAAATAATGATTTCATTGTTACAAAATAACATTTTAGTCAATTAAAAATTCTCACTGCTTCCATACAACTTTCATTTTAGGATCTTGGTTGCACTGTAATTTTTTTCGTTAAATGTTGAATTTAAACCGGGTTGATTAGGATAACAGTTGTTTTATGGAAAACAAAATTTATTTGTCTATTATTACTATTTAATCATAATTTGAGACTTTCTAGCTAAACCAATATCTCAATAAAATTGATTTGAAAGTAAATTAAAATATTGTTATACAAATTAAAAATTTTTTTTATATATAATACTAGATATGAAGTCTTCTCGATCAACTTCGTCACAAAATTCTAGAAGAAATGCTAGAAAAATAAACAGTGATTCATCTGAAACAAGTAATAGTGATAGTGAAAATGAGAAATCATTTAACAACATGGATAGTGCTAAGGCAGAACGATTATTTTCTCATCGTAAATTTAATTTACAAAAATCATTATTTAATATATCTTACTTATCAGAATCGGATAGTATACTTGAGTATGTTTAATAATTATTAATTTTATTAACGATGTTTATTATTTTATAACAAGTTTCAATCATTTTTAAGAATTAGCAATAAACCTGATGAAGATTTAAAGGATGACAATGTTTCAAGAAACTCTACTTCACATGTATGTAATTTTTTTGTTTGAATAAATAATGTTTTAATTGATAATTAATTTTAGATATTGAGTGACATTTCTCCATGTAAAAATGAGGATGATAAAGTTGTAAAAAATAAAGATAATTCAGAACAACTTAATTCATTGGATAATGAATCACTTATTTCAACTCCTAGGTGGCGATCAAATAAAAAAAACTTGTTTTTGGATTCAAGTGATGAGTCTAGTAAAGAAGAAAAAGAAATGTCAAGCCATACTAGCAAAGTAGATTTTATTTAAAATTAAAAATTAATCATAATTTAAATTTGTAATAAGTCAAATTGTATATCTTATTGAGAATTTGTCAACTATAGAAACATAGAATTAACTTAGTAAAAAGTGCAGGAAATTGATTGATATAGTCAAATCAATTTAGTTGCATGATATCTGTGCAAATATCTTGTTGAGAAATTAAGTTTAGTCTTATGATTTTTTATATGCTCTAAGGTGATATTGATAAAACAGAAATGTAAGTTTTAATTGAGAAATAGGACGCATAATATAGGCCTCTTACTATTTATCCTTGAGTTAAGTAATAATAATAATTATTATTATTATCCTTTTGCTCATTTTTTTTTGATAATTAGCACAACATTTTATATGGGAGTAGCCTGTTATGAGGTAACATTCAAAATATTTAGTGCAAATATTAAGTTTTAAATAATAACATATTTTAATGTATTATTTTTATTTTAAAAATATTACTATAATTAATGTAATATAAACAATTTAATAAATAAACAGTAATTTTCTTCAAACTTAAGTATGTTTAATGAACATATTGAATCTAATAGTGAAACAAAAGAGTTTCAATATTTATTTCTTTAAATAATGAATCTTTTTTGGAAAGGGGACATTTTTTTTGCATTGATTGAAAAATGGTAGCTCTTGTACTTAATATTTATATTTATTAGATATATATTTAATTAAATTCCTTATTTAAGGATCAATCAAATATTGATCATAAATCATCTGTTTCATTGTCCTATCATGTGTTATCAGGCATTATAAAAAATATAGGAGTTTTCAAGGTATTGACTTAGGGGGATTTTCATAAAAAATTTGTACATCTTCTAAAAAACATTATAACTATACATTTATTTTTGTTATAATGGTATTTATCTCTTTATTCTTGTGAGAATATTTAAAATGTAAAAGTATAAAAGATGGTTTTTATAACGTTAACCACTTAATTTTTCTTATAATTTTTTAAAATAGCTTTTAAAATAAAAAATGAAGAGAAATAAGAAAAATTAAAAAAATGACTGGTCAATTACAACTTTTAAACTAGTGTTTTGGAAGTATTCACATTTTTTGAGAAATGTGGCTACACAATAGGAGTGTAACCAAAAAATGACTAATGATAAAAATAGCAGCATACGCGCTTAACCTCTGGTCTAATTTTTAAAATGCTAATAACTTCCAAAATATTGGTCCAAAAATCATTATCAACCAGTTATTTTCTTAACTAGATAATTTTCTATTTAAAAATCTAGTTTAATATGTATGTTGTCATTAAAAAAATAAAGTTGATACTCCTATAAGGTATAAGGGATGGATTTAAATGTTATTTCATAACAGATAAATGAATTTATAGTCGTAGTTAAAAAAAACTAGAAAAAATGTTTCAAAAAACTTATTATTTTAAATAAAATTTAATAGCTAGTGTTAAAAAAATTACCTTTTACACACTTATATACTATAATAATGTATACTTGAAATACTCTTAGTGTGTTAAAATTATACTTCTATGCTTTACTAATGTTTTTATATATTGAATTGAATTAATTTATAAACTATTTAATATAAAAATATTTTATTTTTCATTAACTTATTATTGTAATTTAATAATTTTTAGTTATAAGAATAATAAGGTTAGATGTATTTAGTTTGAAAGTTAAAAATGATAAGTATATAAGTTTTAAAAGAAAAACTATTTAAATTGCCATTTTTTGTTAAAAAAAGAAAAGAAAAATTAATTTAAATCCCCTTTTTTTAAAACTAAATTGATAACAACAACATAATCAAGCTTTTTATGTATTATTTGTTTACTTAGATTATACTAATTATCCAGTTGTTAGTAATGCTAAAATGTTTACATCATTGTTGACCTTTTTTTGAGCATTTTGCTGTAACATTAAAACAATATTTTTCATTTTGTATCATATCAATAACACAATAGTAAAGTTCTATAAAAGAAAATGAACGTATATATTATCCAAAAGTAATAAGACAAAACAGGTAAAAAAAAGTCTGCAACATGATGATTGATGTGCTGCATGACGCTAAAAAATACAATATTATCAAAGTGCCTGTGCATTAATAATGTATAAATTTATCTTCATGAATGTTGGGCTGATATTCCTTCATATTCTTTGTAAACACTTATACTAATCATATCTATAATGTGTTTTAAATCAAATGAAATATATATTCATGGTTCCAAAAATGACAAATATGAGAGAATTTTTTAGTGTTATTAACAACTGTGTATAATTAAGTTAACTTATATATTGTTTGTTTTTAATATCTATATTTTTGTTTTATTTCAGGAAAGCTGTGCAATTTTAGAATCAGATACAGATGATGATATTATAAATTCATCTAAAGAAATTTGCTCAACGCCTAGCAACAAAAGTTGTAAAATAGAAGACCAGTTAAATGATTTATCCTTAATTGAACCTTCCAGTTCTGATATTGACTTTACTATTAACAATAAATCTATTATCTCTTCATCTAATAAAAGTCGACCATTTTTCGAAGACCTACAATTAGCTAATTCTGTTTTAGAAGATCACAATCCTATTTCTAATAGCAGTATATTAGTTCGTCCACATTTAAAAAACAAAATCAATGAGTGTACTAGTAACAAAAATATTGATGTTATCACTTTAGATGATGAAAGTCCATGTAAACAGTATAGTCCTGAAAATAAGTCTATACCTAACATTGATTTAACCATTGAAAACAAAAGTTATTCATCATTAGAATCTAAACCATCTGCAGATTTATCAAAAAAATTAACAAGTGAACGCTACAAATCTTTACAAATGGAAAAAAAAAAGTTGGAAGAAAATATTTTTCAATTTACAAAAACAGTTAATAAATTGAAAGTAAGTTATATTTTCTACTTTTATTTTTTAAATAAAATTAACAAATTAATTTTAGAATACTATGGATAACGCAAATTTAAATCTATTACCTGATGGAGGCCTCAGGTTAAAAAATGCAATTGTAAAAGAAGAAAATCAGCTAAAATACACAAGAATGCAGTTAGAAAATGTACTACTACTACTCAAAGATTATGCAGGTATATTTATTTTTAAATAAAATAAAATATATGATAGATTTTAAGGTATATTTAAGTTTTTTTGTGTTATTAAATAATAATAAACTTAACAAACAAATTTTGTTTATTATGTCTAAAAATATATACTTATATATGTATATAAAATATATTAGTTGTTTAAAACTTTAAATTGCTCTCCTGAAAATTTTTTAAAATATAGCTACAGCCTTTTTTTACCATAGAAGTAATATGTAAATGAAGAAAATAACTTGTTTATTTTTGTTTTTTTCATATTTTTGTATGTGTAAATTCAAGATTCTCCAATTTCCAAGTATGTTGAAAGTCCATCATCTTCTCAAAATATTCAAAAATCTAACTCGACTAATATTAATGCAGCATTAACAAAAAAGGCTGCAACTAATATAGATGTTCAAGCTATGGGCGATAAAGGTATTTATTAATTTATGAAGTTGTATTTATTTATAAAGTACACATAATATTAAGAAATTTTTTAATAGCTTTGAGTACTTATCGAGCACAACAAGCAATGACATTAGATGTTCTAAATACACTCCATAAATCCCTAGAGTCCTGTCCATCTCCAGATATCCTAGCAGATGATCCAGCAGGGTTAAAAGTAGAACTTATGCCACATCAAAAACATGCAATTGCTTGGCTTATATGGAGAGAAAACCAAAAACCACATGGTGGTATTTTAGGTGAAATTTTGTTTAACTTTAGAAAGTAGTATTAAGATAATCCTGTGATATTCTTCCAAACTTATTTTGTTTTTTAGAATGTATATCCATCATTTTATTATTATCTATACATTATATTTCTATTGTTATTATAATGTATTATTGTTTATTATTTTATACCAATATATTATTATATGTCATAGCTGATGACATGGGTCTTGGTAAAACATTGACAATGATATCTCTAATATTAAAATGTAAAGAAACGCAGCAATATGGCGATACTGATACTGATTCTGACATAGAAGATTTAACTGATTCATCTAAAGGAAATGGTAATGTTTATCTTAGATTACTATTAAAAAATATTTAATAATTAAAATTATGTAAAATATTTTAATTTTTAGTTATTAAAGGCGGAACACTTATAATTTGTCCTTCATCATTAATAAGTCAATGGCAAAATGAAGTGAAGAATAAATTACGGTCTAGAATGCTGGAGACAGTACAATATTATGGATCAAACAGAGAAACTTCAGCAAGAAAATTGTGCAGAATGGATATTGTAATAACAACTTACCACACTGTAATGTGGGATTATAAGAGTCATCAAAATACAGTAAATTGTTTATTAAAACTAATTTAATTTTACAATTTAAGAAAAAAGTGGTGGTTTTATTTATTCTTAATTGTATTTAACTATATATTTAATTTTACTTCTAATTCAGGTAATATGTATGGTGTTACAATTTGATATAAACCACATACCTCCTATATACAGAATTAGAAAGTAAAATGAGTGTATTTAAAACGATTATAGATATTTCTGTTTATATTAGGGCCTGTAATTCTTAAGCTGTGTCTATTAGACCCTGAGCTGGTCAATGTTTTATATAAAGGTAGAATAAATATTATATATATTTATTACATGTCTAGTTTTATTTAAATAATTAATTTTTCATTATCAAAATGTATTCATTTTTTAACAACAATTTTGTTATAAATAATTTTTTAATTATTATTATTAAATGTGTACCATTTTAGTTAAAAAATAAAAATAAAAATAATTAACTTTAAATATTTAACATAATTAAAAAAGTATTTTGCGCACAATGGACCAACAGGTCTGAGTGCATGGACATTATGTCCACCTCGATAATAACTAAAAACAAAGTATTTTATAGTTGTAAAATACTATCCACATATAAAACTACCCTTCAGTTAAATTTTAAAGTTTCAAAAGTTCATCACATCTAGTTTTTTTGTTTTTATACAATATAGATTTTATATATTTTTTAACATATTATACATTGGAAGCATAAAATCTATTTTAAAAATAGTTACCCAACCCTAAGTATTACTTATAATTTAATTCACTTGACATTATATATTTTTTGTAGCAGTAAATTAACTAAAAATTCTGTAGTTGTGCACTACCACAGTCTATTTTCTCAAAATGGAAATATTCTTTACCATCTATTAACTTCATTTTACAACTTGTGATTTTTTTTTTTTTTAAGGTTAGGAGTGGGGTACATTTAGAGTACAATTTAACAATTTCAAAGAAATAATCTGTAAAGAGAAGACATATTTCCAAAAAATGTAATAGTCATAGATTTTCCTAATCATTTTGTAATGTTAAGTTTTCAAAAACATCTAGAAAAAGCTTGTTTGTTTATTAAATGAAAAATAAATAATTTTCAGTTCTAATTATATACTTTGAAGTGATTTGAAATGTTACTTGATTATTTATAATTGTTTTAAAATCGCTCATTTCAATGCTCTACTCTATATACCTTAAAGTATTTATTAACTTTTGATTATTTTTTTTCCCAAGAAACTTAATTTTGGTGTTTACCTTATGTAAGTAAATAGTCTTTAAAATTACTTTAATTTTAATTTTTCTTTGTACAATATTTTGATAGCACTTAAAATGTTTTAATTATTAATAATGTAACATAGTGTTATTGTTAAACTATTTACATTTAAGAATTAGTTTACAAAATAGAAGTATAATATATTTTTAATACAGGGGTTTGTAAATATTTTTTAGAGTCCACTTTATCAAATTAAATGGAATCGAATTATTTTGGATGAAGGCCATACAATTCGAAATTATAAAAGTCAAACCTCTATTGCTGCAAGTGCTTTACGTGGTATTAACCGTTGGGCTTTATCGGGCACTCCTATTCATAATAAAGAAGCCGATTTTTATGCATTATTAAAATTTATTAAGTGTCGTCCATTTGATGATTGGGCAGTAAGAATTATACATTTTACACATCCAAATTTTCAAACAATTTGACTTAAAAATATTATCTAGGTATGGAAACGATGGGTTGGAAATAATGATGTAGCTGGAAAAAATAGACTTCAATTATTAGTAAAATCATTGATGTTAAGAAGAACAAAAGCTGAACTTAGTAAAGCTACAGCTTTTAAATTACCGGAAAAAAAATTTCACACAATACATGTTGAACTTTTTAAAGAAGAAAAAGAAGCTTATGAAAAAGTGCTTGAGTTTTCAAGGTACATTACAAAAGAAAAGTTACAACTAATTTTTTAAAACATTGACACAGCTTGAAATAGCGCACTATTCATTTATTGTGAATTAGTTCGTTATTCGGTTGTAATTATCAGCTGCCCACTGTTGCACTTGTCAGTGTTGACGATAACACTATTTTTGTATTTTCTGGTGTCCGGTAGATAGGACAGGTCAGGGGGTTCAGCATTGTGAGACATGTCGGTAAATATGTAAACTAGTGCATCTGTGACTTACATACGCCACATCTGCCGCTGAATTATATATTAGCGTTTGAACATTGTTCACCCATACTTTTCTGTGTATTTTTCAGTATTTAAATAGTATTGTTGTATTTATAATTAAAAATAAACTGATTCTACAGTTTTAACTAAACACGATGTTCATATTTTTTATTATTAATACCTCTTATACCGTGTCAACATCATTATTACTTATATTAAATTAAAGTATTATTATCAAAATATATATCTTTTGAAAATGAATGCTTTGATGAAAGGTATGATTATTTTGAGGTTATATTTAAAAGTTAAAATTATAGAACATAATTTTTAAGCTAATATTGCCTTAAATCAAATTGCCAATCAATAAAATACTCAAGTAAATTAGTCTATTGGTTGTTATTAACTATTAAATAAATGTTATTAAAATGTATGTTTTATATCTTAGTAGCTATATTCATAATTCTTGTTTTATAAAATTTCTAATTAAATTGCATTTTTATTAAAAGACATAAAAATCATAAAGAATCTAAATTTGAAATTAAGAAAAATATGTTTATCAAATTGATTTCATTGCAAGATATGAAAACAATAATGTGCTTTTTTCCTTGAACTATACTACTTGATAAAAAAAAAATGAAAAAGTATTGGATTAGACAACTTTTAATAACTCAAAATGGACTTTTTGATTTCAATATTTAATATTTTTTTTTAAAACAAAATATCTCACTATATAAAAAAATATTCCCCAATTTATCCTCTTTAAACATATCTTCATTAAAAGTCAATTTAATTAGATCATTATTCAATAGTTTTTATCTTATATATTAAAAAATTTGTAAGTTTTTAGTTTTTTAAATATAAATATTATTATAAAATTTACAAATATATTCCACTTTTAAAAAGAAGCTTTTCATGTTTAGTTCACTATTTGCTTCGTATTTATATGAAAAAGCGGAAAAAGAAAATGCTGTTAATCGAGGTTTTCCTGTTCAAAATAAAATAAAATATGTTCACCGTAAGTAATTACTTTTTCTTATGAAATCATGATTTATGATTATGATGATATGTAATAAATTAAAAAAATTATTTTTAGAACGAGATATGAATGAAGATATATTTAAAGATCACCCTGAATTAAATAAGTTGTTTAAAAAATTGAAGGACCGAAAAGACATTCAAGCTCATCATATTTTGGTATTATTATTACGATTGAGACAACTATGTTGTCATCCATGCCTAATGAAGAGTGTATGTTTAACTTTGTTTAATTAATTTTTTAATTTAGGGATTTCAATGATAACACACTTAACAGATTTTTCCTAAGTTCAGTTTGATGCTAATTTTCATGTTAAAAATAATCATAGTGTATTACTAACTAAAATCCATTTATAAATAAAAATATTTGGAAAAATAAGCTTTACTACACTAATAATGGTTTTCCTTATTTTGTTTACTTTCTTATAAATTAAAAGAACTGTGTAGGGTGATGAATTTTGTAATAAATATGTTTTTATAAAAAAATAAAAATGTCTTCAACATTTCTATTGTATCTTTAGATGTTGGAAGGGGATAATCTTAAAGCGGATGGTATTCAGAGTACTGAGGACTTAGAGTTAATTGATCATATGAGTCGCATGTCCATAGGAATACCTAATGCAAATCAAACACCTTTAACTGAAAGTAATCCTATTTTTAATGATTCATGGATTAGTTCTAAGGTAAGTAGTTAAACATATTTAAGTAAATATTTCTTTATTAAATAATTTATTTTGTTTTAGATAAAAAATGTGTGTGAAATGGTTCATGAAAAAGTTTTAGATACTGATGACAAAGCCATTATAGTGTCCCAATGGCCAAGTATGTTACAACTTATTGGTAATGAACTAACAAAGTATAAAGTGAAGACAGAGTTGTTTTCGGGTGCTGTACCAATTCCACTTAGAAATAAAATTGTTACAGAATTCAATAATTCTCAAAGTGGTCCAAAAGTAAATTATAATGAAACATTATAACACAAAATTTATTTTATTTTTATTTATGATATAGAGTTTAGATAACTAAATATCTAGAGTTTATCAAAAGTTGTACTTATCATAATAATTTTAGTTTTGATATACAACATGCATGATTCATTTACTAATAAATTAAATTATAAAAATGATATTGAGAATTTTTTATTTTGTAAAGTAAAAAAAAATTTAATTTAAACAGGGGTATATTTATCACTGATTTATTTTTTTTTAATAGATCTTATTGCTGTCATTAACTGCTGGTGGTGTAGGATTAAATTTAGTTGCAGCCAATCACTTATTTTTAGTGGATGTACATTGGAATCCTCAACTTGAAGCTCAAGCCTGTGATCGAATCTATAGAGTAGGCCAAACAAAACCTGTTAACGTTTACAAATTTATCTGCTCTAATACTATTGAAACAACTATTCAGTCAATTCAATCAAATAAATTGGAATTGGCTAATAACCTTTTTGGTGGCTGCAGTAATGTTGAAGCGACTAAGATAACATTAGATGATCTAAAAGAAATATTTAATATTAACCCTAATAGATCAAAATAAAATAAATTTTTATCTATGTTGATAATTTAGTATGTATATTTATTTTATGTACAATATTTTGTTGTTAAAATTGTATCTTTGTAATTACTATTTTATCTTTGAACATTGCTACATTTTATAATCAAAAATTCATAGTATTTTTTTAGTAATTAAAAGAAAATTATTTTATTATTTAAAACAATACAATAATTATTCATGCACATAATTTTTCATTAGATATTTGACTTATATGTAGTTTATAGTTGTTTTTTATTATTTATTACTAAAATATACAGATTAAACGAGAACATGGAATCAATAACTTGTTGATTTTGAGGTTAATTACTCAGGTTTTTATTTGCAATTTTATTATGTCAGATACAAATACATTCATTTTTTGAAGTCATAAAAAAATTAAAAACAGCTTTTGGTTTCATAATTGTTGTATTCTTTGCATTTTCAGGTATGGATATTAAATTTAAATAACTATGATCAATTCCAAATTACTGTAATTATAGGGAAGAGTCAATATCATTTATTTCTGATAGTTAATATGTCACCAATTTAATACTGAAATTGAATATAAAAATTTATACTCAAAAAACACCATTTTTAAGCTAAATTAAAAAAAAATATATGAAATTTAAAAAGTGATAGTATTTTATTTAATTTATTTTTTAATACTACATGTTAAGTTTTTTAAATAGACCTTTTTTTATAATTTCTTTAGCCAAAAGCTTCATTTTATTATTTGTAACTTACTCTTACTTAATTCTTCACATAAAATTAATTATTTCTGAAATAATTTTGGTTTATTTTTAAATATGTTATTAGAAACAGGAAAAGGCTTGTTTATTATTCTACAATGGTACATTCAAAATCAGTATAAAATTCAAAATATTTGCTTAATTAGAGAATTTTTTAAAAATATTACTACAGTAATTTTACATTATTAGTAATATTACAGTTTTTTAAATATCAAATATCAAATAATAAATATAATCATCAAAATCATACCATATTCCACATTTTTCAAAAGAAATTAATTTATTTTAGAGCCTTTTCAAATAAAAACTTGTTTGAGAATTGGAGAAAAAAATAAATCTACAAAGAATCAAGTATTTGGATATTGTCTATAAAATAGTTAACTTCTCCAATTGCCAGTTTTACAGACCTTAAATATGGTCAACACCAATTGATAAATGTTTTAACAATTAAAACATACTTGTATAATAAAATTATTCAAACAATTTTTTTTTTTTTTGTAGTAGTAGTATTTTGATATATTGAAATATTGTCAAGCGTGGATGTATTACTTCTCAAAAAGTTTTTCATATTTTAATGAAATCCTTAATATGGTTACATCAAATTAGAAAGGTTATAACTTTAGACAATTTTTTCATCATGAAAATAGAAAGTAGCTGTAAAAATGTAAAAGTTCATAACTAGTCTAGTTAAAATATAGAAAATATAATTGTATTTTTCAAGGAATTATGTTACTTATATTTTAATAAGAATAAAATATTTTTAAATCAACTATAACTTGATAATTATCAAATAACAAACAGTATTTTATCTCTAAATGTTTAATTTGTTGTTTTATTTTCATTAAATAACAGAATTTTGAGTTGACATAATGTTTTATAATGTTAAAATGTAATATTTTTACTTAGAAACAAATTGGTAAAAAATAAAACAATACATTTCATAAAATAGTTCATGTAGTGTAAGAGTTATAGGATTTATATTGTTGATAATTTATAATACAGTAACATGAAATCTAAAGACAAAATACTTTGGTGACTATTTACTAACCAACTAGAAGAGTGTTATCATCTAAAAATTTGTAGGGTGGTACTTCCATGTTAGTAGGTGCAGGGCCTTTACGAATTCTACCAGCTGCATCATAATGTGATCCGTGACATGGACAGTAATATCCACCCCAATCACCAGCATTAGCAATAGGTACACATCCAAGATGTGTACACACGCCAACAATAACTAACCAATCTGGCCTTTGTACTCTAACTGAATCATCTTCTGGATCTCTCAGCTCTGCTACATTAGTGCTTTGTTCAGCTTCTATTTCAGCTGCTGTACGATGTCTTACAAACAATGGTTTTCCTCTCCACTTGATTGTAGCATTTTTTCCTTCAGGTATTTCATTTAAATTTACCTCAATTGATGCTAATGCTAAGACATCAGCAGCAGGAGCCATAGATAATACAAACTTGTGAACAACAGCTTTAGCACAGAAAACAGTACCAGTTACAGCAGTTCCGAGAACCATATAAGTAAAAGCATTTCGGCTTTCAAAAGTATCACAATTTTTAGCTGTTGGACTTTTTACTGAGTCACGGCGGTAAGGTGTGTAATCAGGAAATTTGATGTCAGTATGAGCTAAACGAATTTGGGTAGAAACCACTGATGTGAGTCCAACTTTCGACAATAAATTATTCTGAAATGTGTAATTGTTCAAAGTAATAGGATTAGACGGCACAATCTGTTTAGCTGATTTTAATGCTCGTGGTGTCTTTGATGATGATGTTGATACAACTTCAGTTTTGCCTTTAAGCACATTGGAGAAGCTACCACCGAGTTGTAAATTTCGAAACATGATGTACCTAAAATTTAAACACACTTAATAAAATATGTTAACTTCAAATAGTTCAAATTTTTTATTAAAAAGGTAGTATAAACTTAATTACACCAAAATGATACTTCTCTATCATTGAAAATCAGTAGCTGACCTTCTTTGATCTAGTATCATAAGACGTAAACACATATGATTCTTATTGATAACAACTTTTTCTGAGATTATAGATAACTTTAACCAAGGTAAGTTTGTAATTACTTTGGTATTAACCTTTAAAAAGAAGTTGGAAGCTTATCTAGTTTTTTTAGTTTTGATTTTAGCGATAAACGACCACAAAGAACCCTTGGGGTCTGAATACTAGTGATCTGAAAATTAATTTTAATATTAATACACGGTATTATCGGTTAGTTACAAATTACATCGTCAATAATATAGACGATGTAACTTGTTATCGTCTTTATCCAGTTAAAAGTTTTATGATAAACGTCTTAATAAGACACTCCTGTTAAATTTTTAAGGTATTTGACTATTTATAAATAAATTGTAAATAGTCCAATCATTTGCAATGAAATACAAGTCTGCTATTATTCTAGTGGCGGATCCAGAACCTTATACCGAGGATGTGAATATTTTTATTATGGAATCTAATCTTATAAACTCAGTATAACTAATCCAAATAATATATATTATATCTTGTTAGGCTTGTACCCATAACTACAATGTGGAGTGGCCTTATGAGTGTTTAACCCCACAGTTAATAAATTTGTGCCTCAAAAACGTTTATTTTAATTTGATTTTTATATATTTATGCATGTACTGTAAATTTATAAAACAATTAAAAATAACAGTAAAAGAATAAATTATCAAAATATTAAGATAACAGTAAATTAACATGGACATTATAAAAATAACTTATCAATGTATGAACTTCTTTTATCGAATACATCATTTTAAAATTTTAAATAGTAAATCTTGTGTTTTATTGGATAATGAAAATATATATATATCACTTCTTCAGGATTTATTATAACAGCACGTACGCATGTAATAAGGCTAGGCCATTGAGTTTTTCTTCAGTTATTCTTGACCTTTACCTCGTTTTTATCCATCTTAGTTACGAAAAGTTTTTATTTTGTAGAGCAGTTTTGTTATGAAAAATTAATTTTATTTCTACTATGTACATGGTAGAAAAATATTGAAACAAAATCATCGGTAAATTTTGATTCTAGATCGCTAATTAAGTTGTTTACAAAGGGTATAAATTATACAATTCTAAAATATTCTTCAGCAGTTTAAACTTAAGGGTTGCCTCTTGTCATTCTTGAAGATAATCTAGGCAAATCAATATCATCAGTAATTTCAATTTTAGCTATCTGAGGTTTTAATCTAAATATTTTTACAAAACACTCATTGCTTTCTTTACGACTTTTTCAAAAGTGACTATTCTATTTTACTCATTTAACCAATGTTGTCTCAAACGAGTACAAAGGAAATGGTAATATTTTTTTGAATAAAGTTCTTTTTGTTGAAGTTTTAAAAAAATGATTATTTCTTTCATTAATCCAAAAGCATTTTTTACATATTTTAAATTCCACCTTTCATAGTCAACAAATTAAGAGCATGGCAAAAAATGAACATTGAATTGCGTTTTTCATTTATAGCTTCATATTTTTTAAGGCACCGCATTTTTTAGATAGCATAACTGAACATCAGTCAATTGTTATTCCAACGCATTTTATTATTTAGGGATAAGTCAAGTTTTTCAACTATTTTTTAAAACTGAATTACAAATAATTTCACCAGTTATTTTAGGCATAACTAATTCATTACTATCATAAAAATTATCACGAAAACATTACAAAAATCCAATAAAATTTTCGTTTATTTCATTTTTATACATGTGTCGTTTCACCATAACTAAGTTTGATATTTTTGAAATATCAGTTATTTTATCGAAAATAATGCTAGAGTAATTCGATTGTTTTATTCTTTCCAAAACTTTTTTTTTTTTTAATTACCTATTATTAATATGAATTCTTTTTGCATAATTTTTGTGATATTAGTTACCTTCGATTGTGTATTTAAAAGATAATTTTTTTAAGTTTCATCGCTTGATAAAATTTTAAAATTTGATAACTCTTTGAGATTCCCTTTATTTTCAGTAAGTAGTTCAGAGTCACCTAAAAAAATACCATCACAACGATGTCTTCTTAGAGCAATGTTTTGTCTTCCTAAAAAATATCTTTTCTATAATTGGTTTTAACTTACTTCTATTTTTCATAACTTGCTTATTACGCTTTATGCTTACTATGTTTTTCAAAATAACCATTTTTACCAAGTAATTTAGCAAAGTTAAGGAGTCAGTGACACGACTTTTTAATGGTGTTGTGTTACTTGCTTCTTGCTCCGGTTTGTATGACTTAATAACAATAATGAATGCGGTACAAAACAAACTACTGGAAAATTTTAGACAAAACAAACCAAAAATATTTATCTAGGTGCTCATTAGGTGCTAATGATAATTATCATAAATTTTTTATTTTGATCTTAATATATCACGTTAAAAATGGTAATTTTGACATGTACATTTATTTGTATGTACATTTTCTTGGTATTCTTATAGTATGAATTTTTTTTTTTATTATATTGTTTTTTAATTATTGTACCACAGAAGTAATAATCATTTAAAAATGAATAATAAAGCAAATTAATGTGTTATTAAATGATATTTTTTCCAATAATTAAGTGGCTCTATGTTTTGTATGAGGATTTTGCAAGGAATTCATTGGTGTATTTTTTATATTTTATGGGAATCAAGCAAAAAAAATATAGAAAATTACAAATTATCAACTAAAAAAAAAAATTCCTTAAAATCTATATTAAGGGACTTTTGAGAAATACTGTTTCATAGAGTGCAATAATGATATCTGATACTTTCTATATATCAAACTAAAAAGATAAAAGAAACAATAATAAAAAAAGATAATTTATAAAGGTAGTATGTTTAAATTTACCAGTCTTTCAGATTTTTTTTTTTTATCAAGGTTGTAACGAACCATTTAGTTTCTTGGCTTCCAAAACTACTTCCTTCCATCTCTCTCTATCATATGCCTACTCCCAGTCCACTCCAATTTCTTCTAATAATTCCTTGAAGCAGTCTTTCGATCTTTTAATTGTCTTCCTCTTGGTCTCTTTCCCCTCGTCATATATGTCAATGCTACTTCAATAGACTTCCAACGGTCCGCCATACATGGCTTGCCCATTTTATCCTTGTCCCTCTGTGAATTAGACCACATCTTCTCTTTTGTAAAGAGAATCTCTCTTCCGTATTGTTGAATACGGTTCCGTAAATATTTCTAAGAACTTTTCTCTCAAATATATGTAGTTTTTCATCATCAGCTCTCGTCATTACCTATGTGGCACATGCATATGTCAATATAGGGAGGTTGTAACTTATGTATAGATGTTTTTATGTCTTCTTTGACAACAGCTTAGATTTAAAAAGGGTTTTCAGTGCATAAAGGCATCGGTTAGCAGTGACCAATCTGATATTGGTCTCTCCATGCAAGTTGTTTTGGTTATTTAGGGTAGACCCAAGGTACTTAAACTCTTGTACTTGATTAAAAGTGTTATTTCCCACGTGGAGGTTATTATGGTCACCCGCTCCTCGTTCTACCATCATGTATTTAGTTTTTCCACTGTTAATTGTTAAGCCAATATCTTTTCCGATCTTTACTAGTTATTTAACAGTACTCTGAATAACTTCTCGGGAAATCCCATTAACCATTATATCGTCTGTGTATGCTGACGACATATACTAGTCCTTCGGATATTTTTTTTTTTTGTGGAACTAAAGTAGTTTTTCAATTTTGAAAAAAGTACTGTTTTGTCTATAGACTGTCATAGTCAATGATGTTAGTTATATTAATAGCGTAACTAAGGGCAGCTAAAAGGTAATACTTAATCATTGTAGTATGATATAAGTAAAAAAAAAGGTCATTATAACATCCTGCTCTATGACATCTAAGGATGCCATAGTGTACTATTATTGCACTGTGACATTCACTATTTTGTGTCAATACATCTTATTTTATTTATTAATTGATACACAAATATTTCATAAAAAAATGAGATAAACAGGAAATCTTTTATTATAGACTATTAAAATCTTAATTTAACTGTTACAAGTATATGTTGTTACAATAAAAAACATTTGCAAGAGTCAAATTAATATGATAGATGAAGATGCATAAATGTATTCATTTAAGCATAATAGAAATACTTTATTAGTTTAAGAACGCTAAAATTAAATTTAAAATGTAAATAACAATAAGAATCAATGTTGGATGAAGGTTACTTACATCTATAGGATGTACATAAAATAAAATTCTCCTTCACCTGGGATAGGGTTCAGAGATTAATATAACAGTAGTTTTAAAATAAAAATGTTTACAAAAATATTGTACGTTTTTTAACAAATAAATTTGACAAATTTGTGAAACAGATGTTACATTTATCTTTGTTCATCTAAACGTTGATATATATTGATCAGAATTATATATGGGAATTTTTTTTCGTTATTCATAGCCGATACTGATTTAATTGTAACATTTTGTTATCTCATTTCTGTAGATAATCGGTTCACTGCTACAGAAATTTAAAATGTTAGTATTATTTGACTCGTTGTGATGGAAAAATAATCTGTGTACAAACTATTCTATTACTAATTAAATACAGTAATAACTGATAAGATAATGAAAAATGGAAGTTATATACTCTGAAGGCTTACCGACTAAGTGTTAAAGCCTGCCATGGTCTATTCAATTAAGTATTTTGTACGCTCTTTGCACAAATATACTTAAACCATCATAGTATATGTCAGAAATTGAGTTATGTCTTTCTTTAGTTTGCGAATCTTCTCGTTCTTCTTTAAAATAAATATATTTACCTTCTATGCATGGAATTAATTTTATATAAATTATATCACATGATGTGTACCAATACAATTCATCTCGTCAAATAATATTAGTAAACGAGTGATGACTGCTATATTATGTTTATTAAATACTTGCACGGGTATGTATATTTAAAAATGTCTATTATTAATTTATATAAAATAAATATTATTTTGTAGGAATTGAATACATTTTTTTAAAATTTAAATGAAAAATAAATAGGTATTGATATATTTCAGGTATCTAATAACATTTTAGTTTTTAATTTGCCTCTTAAAAGCAAGTGTATATTTTTTTCAATAAAATTTAAATTATGCATATAATTTTATTTAAATTCTTATTTAAAGTAACCTTTTAAATTAAATTAGTAATGTGTTTTGCCGTTGTGCTAGGTCCTTTTCTATCACCAGAATTATCTTGGAGAAAAAAGTATTAATTATATATTTTCTAAAATAAAATTGTAATTGATTAAAGTAGCAACTTTTTTATTGTGTATTAATGCTATTAAAACATTGCTTTAAAATTTATTATTACATTCTTTGTTTGTATATTGTGTAAACTAATTAATGTCCTTTTTGATTCCGCTATTTTACTTTCTATTAGCTTAATCATCCTTTGCGTTATGTGCTTTATGTTGCTATATGATTTTCTTAAACTGCTTATTTTTTACGTTCATTAATTTTCTTGTTGATCTCTTTTGTTTTTTATTACTTTTATATTTATTTCATATATTGTTTATATATTTCCTTCTCTAGTTTTATATTGTCTGTTTTCATTGTTACCATATTATGTATTATATTATTGTACTGTAAGTACTTAAGTGTATAACTAAAATATGACTATCTTATTAACTAAAAATAATATGTTAATGCATGAAATGAATGTATCATTTCCTGTTATTGATAAATAATATAATCTAGTATTAAGAATTAAGTTTTATAGCTATAACATAATATGCTATTGTATTTTAAAAAGGGTCATTTTTACCATAAGAAGACATGTACACTAGAGTACTCACAGTGTGATATTTATTTAGCATTTCAAATTTATAACAAACTCGCATAAATTTATATATGACTAACTTTTATATAATATTCAATTATCAATATAATTATTTTAATCATTGATTGTTACATGATTTCTTTTTTAGTATATATTAATTTAAAAAGCCACTTGGCATTAAATGATTCAAATAAACTAATAGCTGAAACTTATGTGTTAAAAAAAGAATTTTTTTACTTGATTGTTGCAGAATTCTAAAAAAATTAACAGTAATACCCTGGTATATACTCTACTGCAGTTAGTAACTACTTTTTTTTATGTATATTATTCCAATTTTTTAAGTTTAAAATATTAAATTATACAATTATAAAAAGAGGAATTTGTAAATTTCATTCTCTAAAACTTATATTTTTTTCTATAATATAATCTGGTGTTCAAAAGCATATTAAAGATTTTTTACCCAGTAAAAAATATTTTCAATTTTTTATTCCTCTATTCATTTTTGTTTGTTTAACAAAAAGTCATTTACTTCTAAAATATTCTTAAAATTTTCTATAAAAGAAAATTATAGCAATTTTTAGTATAATAAAGATTTATTATAAAAATTTTTTTTTTGTAATATAAAAAAAATAGTATATTGCTAATTTATTTACATCTTTTGTAGCTAATTTCTAGAAATATAAATGATTAACAAAACAAGGATTTATCAATAATTTGATTGAAATTTTCTTTATTCAAATTTATTTATATGCAGTAAAAAAATTGTATTATTATGCACTGCTAAATAAATAAATTTAATAATATTTAATAAAAATATACTAGATTGTTGATTATATTACATTATATCTAAGTTGTAAATACTTTTATATTTTTAAATTGATGGTAATAATGTTAATAGTCACTATTATATCAGCATATATGTATTGTGTATTTTATTATGAATATACTAAAGAAAATTACTGTTAATGACTTTAAAGTTGTTTAAATGATGTACTTTTATAATTTTTAATCTTTTTTTAATAGCCTTAACATTCATAAACTTTATGAGTTTAGCGTGAATTTACCTAAAGGATGATAATATTACTTGATAATATTTCAGATAAAAGTCTATTTTACCTTTTTTATTGGTTAAGAAATTAGTTTCTTTTAACAGTTTTTTTAATTATTTAATAAAAACCTTTGGTTATTAAGTATTCAAATAATAGTATAATGACAATAGTTATGTAAAAAAGAGTGGTTATATACATTATTTATATTCTAAATAGATAGTATTAATAGATATCATATATTAAACATATTAAACTAGTGTTTATTTAAAAATATTTCTCTTAATAGCGCAAAAATTAAAAGTAATTTTTGTTAAAAAAAAAGGAAATATAGAGAATTTTAATCTACCAAGTGGAAACTATACAATACAATATTCTAGGTAAAATGAATTTATTATAAAAATTTTGAAAGATAGTCTTATTTTTTTTTTAGATTTTGATCAATACATCTAAGTTAATCTTTAATATATACTAAAATGAAGAATGGTAAGTATACACTTAATTTAATGAAAAATTGTTATAATATGTATAATATATTTGTCACAAATAATACAAAAAATGACAAAATATTTTAAAATATGCAACTTTTTCATACGATTCTAGCACCCAAAGTTCTTTATTAGTGTATATGATCTCAAATATTTAACATTCTTAATTAAGAGTATAATATTATTATGACTTCATATAAATTTATTAGCTAATAATTATAATATACTATTTGGTTGTTATTTTATACTAATCAGTATTTTATACTAAACTTAATAAAATCTGTAAGGTACACAATATTGCTTCTAATAATTTTTACAAAATAATTTCTAAAAATTAATTTAATTTTGAATTATAGATTTGAAAATCCAGTGTGCTGAAAATAAATACTATTATGTATAATTATTTTTCTATTTAAGTATGATTAATAATCATAATTTACTATTACTAGAATTATTTATTTTATTAAAATTGTTATAATATATTTATAATTTCAAAACAATTAGTATTACAATTTTCATAACTTCATAGTTAAATTTTAAAGAGTTTTTATCCTCAATTTATTTTTAATAATTATTACCTAGCTAGTATATTTATTTACTTTAAAGTATTTATCATTCCTAGTTCTATATTGTATGTAGTAGAGAAGGAGAATGTATATTGTTGACTTGGCATATTTTCTGCTGTCATTGTTTAAACTGTTTATTGTTTAGAAATAAAATATATTGCATACTAATTTTTGATTCATAATATAATAACCTATAATGAATAAAAATATTTATAAATGCAGATAAAATGTCATATGTTCGATTTAATCATCAGAAAATAACTCATCAAATAAAACGGATATATTCTTTGAAATCTAGAGGTAAAAGTTGATTTAAAAAAACTATTGAATTTCAATTAAAAATATTCTAATGATTAAAAGTCTAATAGTTAAAATATCATATTAAATAAAATCTTTGAAATTAGTTGCTATATTATTAAAATTCATTTTGAATAGGCAACTAATTATTTTTTGGTGTATAAACTTTACTCTCATTTTAAAATCAAGTTGTATAATTTATTATCATGGTATGTAGAATGTATGATTTAATATTTTATAAAGTATTAAAATGATTATCAATATTATGATGATTTAAGTCAAAATGAAATTTGTTATAAACATTCAGCTTACCTAATAAAAAAAATCTAATGAACTCTATAATAAAATAAAAGTTAAATAATTATATAAATAAAAATTGTTAAAATTTATATAAAAAAATTACAATGTATCTTTTTTTATTAACTTATCAATATTTGCTAATGGTATGTAATATTATGTCCATGTACCATTAAAAATTTAAAAATATGTTAGAGGTAGATTGATTCCCCCCTTAAAAATATTTTGTGTAACAATAAATATAATATTAAGTGTTTTGGGGTTTATGGAAAATTTGAATAAGATGAGACACTCCTTTTTTGACTTTTTATTGTTATTATCATATAAAAAGTTGCCAAATAAAAATTTTTGCTATGTATTTTATCATTTGTAACAATAATTGAAGGTTGGAAAACTCTTTAAATAACTAAAACTGTTAAAAATTTCTACATTATAGGGCTGTTGAAAATGTAGAATTACCATTTTAAAGATTTATTTAAGAGTTTTTAAACTTTTTAAAGTATCTAAAAAATTAAATTGAATAAAAGATAATTGGGTCAATTTTTACATGATATCAATAACATAATTTAGCATATTGAGTTATATAAAATAAATAAATGAATCAATATGATTTCTATAAATGTAAAATTAAAAAAATAGTTACTTATATTAATTTAACTTTTCTAGATATTTTATATTTCAATCGACCAGGCATTAGTAAAAATTCTCTCCTAACCTTCTTAATTGGTGTCGTATTTGGTCTATTTTTTGCTTATACTGTAATATCTGTTAGTGAATGTCATTTCAAAGACATTGCAATATTTCCTTCAAAATATTCTTATAAAATTTATCGTGATCCTCATTCTCATGGCCACAATGATGATGGAGAAACTATTGATGATAACATTGAAATTAAATCTCATGGAGAGAATGAGACATTACATTTCCGTATGTATTGTAGAATGTAAAAGCTTATATTGTAGATAAATGATTTTTAATAAGTTTCAAATCATGAAATAACTTTTATTTAATTTTAATTTATCATATTTAGAAGAAGATACTGTAGCTCAAGAACTTAAAAAAAAAATGAGAGTCCTTTGTTGGATAATGACTAATCCCAATACACATATGAAAAAAGCAAGACATGTTAAAGCTACCTGGGGAAAAAGATGTAATACACTACTTTTCATGAGCACTGCTGAAGGTTATTGTTATATGTGTATTATATTATTTATTATTATATTATTATATTATTTATTTATATTTATTAAAACTGGAAGATATTGTATGTACAGAAGCAGATGTTCTAAGGAAGTGCTACGGCACCCTTACACCTCTACTCCTAAATCTACTCTCTTGTGTATATGGGATTATTTCCTTTTTTTTAATTTAAATTTATTTAAATTAATTTTAGAAAAAAGTTTACCTACAGTTGTTTTACCTGTCAAAGAAGGAAGAAATCATTTATGGGGTAAAACTAAAGAAGCTTTTAAATATATTTATAAGAATTATAAGAATTATGACTATGTTCTTAAAGCTGATGATGATACGTAAGTTAATTAGGATTATTAGTACTTAAAATTGAATTTTTTCTGTATTTTTAAAAGTGACTGTATAGTAAAAACAGAGTACTTTAAAAAAATTATATTTTTTGGAAAATGTTATGAAATAAATTTATAAAAAAATACAATTTTTGGTATGCAATTTATACTATGATATATATTGAAGGAGATTCTACCCTCTCCAAAAGCCTCCAAATTTTCATTCCAAACAATTTTAAATAATTTTTATGACTTTTTTGAAGTACCGAAAAAAAGGAAATCACTATTAAATTGAGGGAGTATTAGTAGTATATTATTTATATTTATTACTAGCTCATATTGAAATTTTTAAACTCCACCAAAAATTTTTTTTTTGAATATTTAGTTAATTTTTTATTTACAATGAAAAAAAAACATTTATTTATAATGAATAATAATTATAACATTTGTAGCTATTTAAGGTTAAAATTAAAAATACAAAGTGAAATAAAATGGGATTTTATGTGCTACGTGTTTATAACTAATTATAATATTCTAAATTAATTTTTTAAAACTTAATTATTGTTCACAAAACTGATGTTTTTTATCATCTACATACCTACAATATATTTAACTGTATCAATTTACTCAATGACATATCATAAGATAATTAATAAACTTATCCAAATTAAAAAGTAATGATATAGAGTTAATGTAAATAAATGAGAAAATTGTAAATTCATATCTCTTAGAATATACAATAGATAATACTTAATAATAACATTTTTTTAGAAAAGTGGGCAAAATAAATACAGAAACATAAAAAGTATAAAATTTGCATATTTATTATATAAGATAAAAAAAAATACAATGACCATATTTTATATGCTTAATGAGCTTAAAACCAAAGTTCTAACTATTCTTAAAGTGAGGCAATTACAAAAAATATAAAGAGCAAAAACAAAATTTGTAGTATAATTTAATTCTTTACTAATTAGTAATTACTCTGTTGGTTTTAGATATGTTATAGTTGAAAATTTAAGATATATGTTATCATCATATGATCCAAATTCTGCTATTTATTTGGGGTGTCGATTTAAACCTTTTGTTAAACAAGGTTATATGAGTGGTGGCGCAGGTGAATTATAAGATTTTTTTTATTGAAATATGTAATGCTACAGAACTAAGAGTTCAATATCATAATTAAAAAAAATATTTTAAAATATTAGAAACAAAGACTAAAATTTATGGACATATATGAGGTATAGCAATTAAAATTAGAATTTCTTATGTATATATATATATAGGAATAAGTTTCACTAAGTTCATCAAAAGGCCTGAATTTTAAAATTCTAATGTTTTTACATCTATAAAAGTTTTAATGTGATTTGAATAATGTTATGCGGTGTACATATTTTTAAAGTTAGGATTATAGTATAAAAAAAAAATTATAAAATATTTTGCACATAGGATAAGCCTATGTTTTATAAAAAGCTCAAATTTTTATTTTTGTACCTATTTAAAAAATATTTTTATTGAACATTTATTCAAAAAATGGAAATATGAAGATATGGATTTTTGAAAATAGGTTATGTGATTTAACTAAAGCTATAATTAGAAATTCTGTTATTTAATTACCATACCTCATTATTTATTACCATAAATCAATTAAATAAATAATTTTATTTTGTAAATTTTATTAAGGTTATTTATTAAGTAAAGAATCAGTGCGGAGGTTTGTAGAAGAAGCAATACCGAATAAACAATGTCGTCAGGATACTGGTGGTGCTGAAGATGTTGAAATTGGTTTGTTGATTATTTTTTATATTATTAATTTGCTTAAGGCCATTTTTTATGATGAATAATTTTTATATACTAGGTTTTGCTTAGCTGGTTGGGTTTATAACTTTAATATTTTTAGGTGTACTTCTAAGGTATCTTTAAATACCGTGTTATTAGTACACTTGCACACTTGAACAAATTTATAACAAAATTGATATGCGCAAACCAAAATAATATCCTACTAAAAACTTAGCGTGTGAACTTAAAAAAAGATTCTTTAATTTAAAAAAAAAAATTTGAAAATTGTGCGTCATTAAGTAATTTTTCCTACATTATTTAATTTTTCAATGTTTTATATAATAAGATTTTGCCATTTAGTATTTTGTAAATTTACGTAAATTTTATTCATAATATGCTAGTGTATTTTGTGTCTATCCCCATAAAAATACTTATTTTCAAATTCATGCCACTTCTTAATTTTATACTAAAAATGATACTATTAAAAAGATATTGAAAAATAAAAGATTGTTTTTAGTTTGCCTGGGGCTAGATTTTTTTTTTTTTGTGGTTTTTTAGCATCTTTTAAATAAATTTATTAAAGCTAAAATTATGTATATCTTCCATGTAAAAAAATTAATAGTAACTCTGTGTTTTCTTTAATTGTCAGTTACTTATTAGTTAATTTGTAGGTATATGTTTACAATTAGTTGGTGTAAAAGCTGGCGATACTAGAGATGCTTTAGGACGTGGACGTTTTTTTCCATTTATTCCAGAACATCATCTTATACCTGGTCATACAACTCCTGATTTTTGGTATTGGCAATATTTATATTATCCAGGTGTAGAGGTAATATATTTTGTTTGATAAATATTATTAAACAATACAAGCTGAATGCTAAGGCATTATTTTTTAATTTGACCCAAATAATTAAACTATTAATAAAAGTTTAATGTATTATAGATGATATAATAAATTTAATTTTTGAGATAAGATTTATTTACATATTTTTGCTATCAATGCATAATAAAATTTTAATGCACCTCCATGTTCTATTTACTAATTCTAATAATTTAAATGCTTATAGTTTAACTCGATAAAACTTGTTAATATCTAATCAGAGATTTTTTTTTTAGAATGATCATGCTGTGATGAGAATTCTTAGAAAAATGAGTGGAGTGGTGACTAAAGAAAATAGGATAAGGAATGATCATACAATAAGGAGTATAGGTGTATTATCAATTGTGGATAATATGACAGAAAATAAACTTAGATTGTTTGGTCGTGTTTTGAGGAGAGAGGTATCAGAAGCTGTAAAAACAGTTTTGGAAATCAATGTTAAAGGAAGAAGAGATAGAGGAAAACCAAAAAAGAAATGGAGGGATGTTATTGAATGTGATATGAGGACGGCTGTTGTGTGCGTAGATGATGTGAGAAATTGTGTCTAGTGGAAGTTTAGGATAAGGGTGGACAAATCCAAGTAGTTTAGATAAAATCGAGAAAAAATAAGAAAATCTTGAAGAACTGCTATTTTAAAATAAAATACAAACATTTTTGAGAACCAAATAAAATATAAATTGACAAATTTTAATTTGAATTGCCAAATCGATATTAAAAAGGTTGATAAAATAGTGGTTTATACTAAAGAGTATAAATCATCAAATTTTTAAAATGAGATTTTTAACAATAATTATAATTTAAACGTTTTTTATTCAATTTTTCTTTTTGTGATACTTGTAATTTTATTGTAAATCAAAAAAATATATTTACCTTTCAAGTTAAAATGGTATAAATTTTAATTAAATTTTTATCATCCTTAAAATCTAAATATTAATATCAATATAAATAATGAATTATACACTATTATAGTATAAAAGAATAAAAATTTTAGTGCATAAGTTAAAATTTTAGAAATTAGACTTGCTGTTTAATAATAAATTATATCAAATTTTAGGTAAAAATACATTTAATTTATATTAGTGTTACAATGTTTTTTATTTGCAGGGAATGGACTGTTGTTCAGATACAGCAATTTCATTTCATTATGTGTCTCCTAATCAAATGTATGTATTAGAATATTTGATTTATCATTTGCGGCCTTATGGATTGTCACAGAAAATTGATGTTACATTAACTAAAAATAAAGATATAAAGGAAAATATTAATAGTAATATCAAAACCGATAGTTTAGTAAATAAAAATTTTAATGTATCGACATAGATTGTTTTACATTTCAAATGACAACTAAATTGTCAATAACAAATAAACGTTTTTTTAAGCATAATTAATTGATACTCACTATATCAGTGCCATGAAATTGCTTTATATTAGGGCTTACTCAAAATGTCCTATTGAAATAATTTTAATAATTTGTGAAAAATTCTAGTCAATTTGCTCATTGTAAAATATTAATATTTCCAAAATATTTTCAAGAGCTTGAAATTACTCTATTTGTCTCTCTATTCAATATTAACAATAAATAATTATTTATCATTAATTATTTTAAGGATTTTGTTAGTTAATAATATTTTTCTATTAATATTTAAAAGTTATAAATATAATTGTATTAAAACCAAAGAATTTGTATTATAATAGGGATTTCTTTGTTTACAATGATTACATTGGTTATAAATATTTTTATTATTCATAATTCATTAAAAGTTTTTTATACAAAATATTCAAATATATTTTAAATTATTCTACTGTAGTCTGATAAGTAATGATTTATAATATTGCTGTGATTTATTATGTAATCTAAAGGTTAATGTTCCAAAATGTAAATAACTTTTCTTTAATCTGTAAAATAAAAATAACACTCTTAAATGTAAATTACTTTGATGATTTAAATGACACATTAATAGTACTTTGATGTACATCTATTAGTCATATATGTCTTATGTTCATATAATGCTTCTTTTCTATTATATTTCTATATTAGAGTCATGGATTAGCATAAATATGAAAAATGTGTATTGGAAAAAACTATATTAATGTATCATATTATTCTTCATTTAATTTATCTGTTAATGATAATAGTAAATATACTTATTAGTATGGCATTATTATTATGTTATTATACACTCATTTTTTAATAAAGTTGACGTGTAAATCCATTATTAATTACATTTACTAAAATTATCTGCGTTATAAAATAAATGCTTATCATTTTAACAAATACATTAATTATATAAAACTGCATATCATTTTTTTTATAACAATTAATTTATAAATATATATTTTAAAAACTTAATAATATGTATCATTTAATAATTGGTTAATTGAGAGCTTAAATAAACAACCGTAATGCTTATTGAATCCCGGGAGAAAATTTATTTTTCTTTTGAGTTTTTTCTCCTTCTTACTACCCAAGTAATACCTAAGCCACTTTTTAGCCACATGCTGTGTTAAAGATTACAAATAAATTGACAGTGTTGCTCATGAAAGTACGTATTAAGTTAATTTATAAATTAAAAAATGAATAGATTTGGCCATAATATAAATATTACTGCTTTTATAGGCATACTATTTTTAGCTTTGAAGTAGAAAGGTTTTATGCAAAAAAATGTAATGTTTTCATTAAATTTCCATTTATGTTGCCATTTTCACGGCTCTCGCCGAATTTATTTTTTTCATCGTTACGTCAAAAAATCATAAATCATAACTAGTTGAAGATATTGCCCTAGAAAATTGAAAAAAATACACTCGTTCTCTGTAAATGGGGGAAATCCCCAAAAATATTTTTATTTTTAAAATCGGTAAATTTTGACATTTTTAAAAAATATTTGATGTAAAACTAACATAACTTTTTTAAATAGATGAAACAAAACATTTTTTTTCTAATATATAACTTAAGTGTAGTTGTTTCATTTGATTTATATTATTTTGATATCTAATTTTTTTTTTATTTAAAATTTTTAACTTAATGTTACTATAATATTTTGAAAAATATTTGGATCAATATAATTTTTTTAGCTTCGATGCGAAGCTGAGAAGGTATTGGTTTTACTAAGATGTGTTTTTTTTTTTTTTTTTTTGTGTGTTACCACTTTTTCTCAGCTCTCACCGAACCGATTTCTTTCAATGATACGTCAAAAGATCACAAATTGTATCTAGTCGAAGACATTACCCTCAAAAATTGTAAAAAATTCCCTCGTTCCCCGTAAATGGGGGAAACCTCCAAAAAAATTACGAATTTAAAAATCGCTAATTTTCGAAATTTTTTCAATTTTTTTTACTTAAAAGTGCCATAACTTTTTCAAAAATAAACAT